GTTTCGAAACGCAGCCGGTTGAATTGCCTGTCCGCTTACGTGCGGGGCCTTGAAAAGGGCACTCGACTATCGTGAACTCATGCATTCTACGTTAAAGCCTGACTTGCCGGGGATTCCTTTCTATTAAATTCAGATCCGATCGCGACGTCGTTCGTCAACGTCTTGTGCTGCCCGCTATTCCAAGTTTCTGGTAGCACTTTGAAAACTGATGGAAGATTGGAACTGCACCATGTGACCGCTAGGCTATGAATCTTCGCGCGAGTATGAATTTATAGATTTAATTTATGGACAATAGGTTTAAATACGAATTTATGTATGAATTAGAATTAAAATCAAAATTCGTTGAATTCTTTGAAGTTTGTAGTGTTATTAGCTTGCGAATAATTGAGTGAATTATAAATAATATACTGTTAGATACGAACGATATGATTCGTTCTCGTTTTTACATAATTTTTGTCTTTCATGGAGTCAATTAATGGGATTGTTTAAATAAATCAGTTTTTGATTACGGTAAATGATGTTCTTGTTTATTTTAGTTGTTGTCCTCGTAAAAGTATTCCAGCTGTCGAAAAAGTGTTGAAAGTGTGATAAATTTCTTGTTTGTTTCTATGAGAAATGAAATAAAAATATTATTTGCATATTAATTTTCATATATAGGTACTACTAATTATCTAAAAAATGTCAAACATCTTTAGAAAATAAGGGCTTATGTTTGAATTTTGTAAAGTATAGAAATGATAAGAAATTAGTGGTTTGTCAATTGCTACTTTAATGTAATGTATTGTGTAAATATTCAACTATCTATGACTACAATATTACTTATGAATGGTCACCTAACCAGTTTAATGAATTATTAATAATCACACTTGACGTTTGACTTTTTTACTAACACTTATCATTACTTTCTGAATTATTGATAATATGTTTACGATTTATTCGTTATATTTTAAAATATAATAATAAGTTATACTATAAATTGCATCATATTATACGTTATAATACTGTATATTATTATTACATTAAGATTTATATTTAAGATTTAGTATTACAAGATTTTAAATCCAAATCATTTGATGACGCTTTATAATTAAGCAATTAGAGTTCAAATGCATTTAACATAAATGCACTTAAATTACGCGTAAGAACGTATATAAATTTCACAACGGAAGTGTGCTGCAATTATTGTAATATTTCTCAAATTATTACCGTAACCATAATCGTTTTCGGCCATTCTAAACGGCCCAATACCGCAAAAGCGACCACAGCTATTTTGAGCATAACTCAACTCAAACCACGATCGATTGTAGTTAGCTATAATAGTAAATGCGCATTATTTATTTCTAAGAGGTTTTAAAAATTTTAATATGTGAACATCTATCTGATGAATTAATTCAATTATATAATAGTAATAAATAATTTCTACGCAAAGGAAGATTAATTTAGAAAGAATTTGCATATTTTGTTCAAGTTTGACTTTTATAATAAATCAATCTCTATAATACAATATAAATAATTTGTAGCAAATAGTAATTGTTTATTTGGAACTTTGCAACATTATTGCAATTTTCTGATACAAAGAAATGTACTCTGTTCACTGTGGTAGAGCGGAAAATAGTAATTAGGTTTTTAAGATTTATAAATAAATTTTATATTTAATTGTTTTATTATTTGCGGGTAATTAATGAGTCAACTTCTTTTAATTCGTTAGTTCATATGTATATCTCGGAAACATTAACATTTTGAATAATGCATGAATCTTTGTACAGATTTAAATTTAATAATTTTCCAGTTTAAATGTTAATTAATTTTATTTCATTCAACAATTAATTTTTTTTTATTTCAATTATAAAATATAATAATGATAACAAAAGAAATTAATTTGTTTGACTACAGTTTCTTTAAATTGACAATGATATATCTTGATTTCTTACTTTTTGGTTTGATAAATTAGTTATTTATTTTCGGATTATTTAATAGAATAGAACAAACGAACCGAAAAGTTTGAATGAATATCATTTTATATATATTTTTCCATAATCGCAGTATACGTAGTATACACTTTAAATTTCAATTAAAGAATTTTCTACTTAAATAATAAGATAAATCACTAATTTATTTCTTAATTATTATAGGTGTAATTAGTACACATTAACAACTAAATTTTCAGTTAAATCAATTCCATAAATATAGAACTAGCTCTGGTATAACATAGTAATTTTAATGACAAATGCTGAAGTATAAATGCTAGAATTCTTGAAGGAAGTAGAGGGTAGGAATAATAATGCTATAGAGAAAAGCGCAAAAAATTATATCGTTAATAAATATAATCATGTTTAATAAACATCTGTCTATATAGTTATGAAAACAAAGTAGCGTAGTTTCATCAATGTGTTTATTACAAAACAAAATCTCTATTTATAACAGAAATCCTAAGGAAAGTAAACAAAATTTCTAATTATACCAGAAATCTGTCTAAAAATAAAACAAAATCTCTAATTATGACAGCAATATTTAAAAAAAGAAAGCAACGTGTCTAATTATAACAGAAATTTCTATAAAAATAAAACAAAATCCCTATTTATAGTATAAATCTCTTAAAAAATAGAACAAATTCCGTATTTACAACATGAATCTCTCAAAAAGTAAAACAACACAACAACAATGCTAATGACAATAATTCTTCGTTACAGAAAGTAAACTGCCAGGCCCCATTGGTAGACAGTAGCGCGCTGCCCCTGGAGCATCGATCGGTATACGGAGCACCCGCCCAGTATGGCCCACCGGCTACGCACGGGGCCGAAGAGAACTGGCCTCTCGCGTCCCCGGACACGCCTCAGATCAAGCACCTCCAAGTGCAATGCGAGAAGACGCACATGCGCGTGAACATCGAGTTCGATCGTCCGTTTTACGGGATGATCTTCAGCAAAGGGTTCTACTCGGACCCCCATTGCGTCCACTTGAAGCCGGGTACCGGTCACTTGAGCGCGACCTTCGAGATCTTCCTGAACTCTTGCGGGATGAGCTCGTCGGCGAATCACAATGTGGCGGCTTACGGTGCACCGACGCCGTCCGGCAGTTACGTGGAGAACACGATAATTGTGCAGTACGATCCGTACGTGCAGGAAGTCTGGGATCAGGCGAGAAAGCTGCGTTGCACGTGGTACGACTTCTACGAGAAAGCAGTGACGTTCAGACCGTTCCAAGTGGACATGCTGCACGCGGTAACCGCGAACTTCCTCGGGGACAACCTGCAATGCTGGATGCAGATACAGGTCGGTAAGGGGCCGTGGGCCAGCGAGGTGTCCGGTATTGTGAAGATCGGTCAGACTATGACCATGGTCCTGGCTATAAAGGACGACGAAAATAAATTCGACATGTTGGTGAGGAACTGCGTAGCTCATGATGGCAAGAGAGCACCTATTCAACTGGTCGATCAGTATGGATGCGTCGTTAGGCCGAAGATTATGTCGAGGTAGGTGGAATGTGGGTTTGATGTTTTGTGGGAAAACTTATTAGATTAATCTGTTAACCCCTTGCCCTATGATTTCTTTTTTAACTATGATCGATACGACAACTTTATCGTTGTTCATTTATTAGGAAAAAAACAAATTTTGATGCTTAGTCTATGTCTATGTTTACTAGGGAGGTTCACGATTGTTAATAGAAAAATAATGTTTAGTTTATATTTCAAAAAAATGAATAACACTTAAATTTGTGAAATTTAGTTTTAAAGTTTTTAGCATATAAAAGTGCAGTAAAGTTCTTTATACATGTTTCAAGCTTTAACATGATATGTATACTCGTCAAACGCAAGTAACCGGTTAAGATGACCTCTGCTCAAATATATCAGCATGACAGAAGTCTCATTCTAAGATTTCTGTTTTATACGAAACTGTTTTCGCGCGTGGAATATTAATTCCTCGAAACCATATATTTCCTCAGATTAAAAGTTCTATTTTTAATATTTTATTTTTAATCCAGCACATTGTTCGCATATTGACTACGTAGAAAAAATTATATATCAAACAGTTTTGTACAGTTTGTCACTAAAAGAACAATTAGTGTTAAATTTATAATTAAATTAAAATAATTTGTAAATAACTAAATAAGGAATAACAAACTTAGTTTAAAGAATACAAACGACGAGTTTACTCAAAGTGTTAAGAAATGAAAGAAACGAAGTTCAAACGGATGTTAATGAATTAAAAATGATTATGCTTTTTTTTGAAGGGAGATATTAATAAGAGTCTTTTTCCTTTCTAGGTTCCAAAAGATAAAGAACTTCGGACCAAGCGCTTCCGTCGTCAGCTTTGCTTACTTCCAAGCCTTCAAGTTCCCCGACAGCATGAATGTTCACTTCCAGTGTGTCATTCAAGTCTGTCGCTACAATTGTCCGGAGCCTAAATGCGGACATCCTGGTCTGGAATACGGAGCTCCTGCCACAGGTTTAACTCAGGAATACGGTGCAGCAGTTCACCAAAGCCTGGGCTCGGAGTATGGCGCGCCCCCGGTACCTGAATACGGCGTACCACCTGCGTTCGGTGATCCCAGGCATCCCAGTGGACCCGCCGGAGCATACAGGTAAGACGTGAAAATTCAATTTTCGAACAATTGACACATTGTCTGGAGGAAACGTACTACGTGGGTTGCAACGGTTTCGAGAAAGTATGAGAAATTAATACATTTTCAATTGTGTCATGTCAGTACTTTTAAACCTTAATACTAGATTTACGGACAGTTATTGTACAGTTTATTCTATTGTTCCTAAAAAATTAATGTTCATTCGTTTAGATTTTGGAAATTAGAGGTTCAAAGATAAACGTTTATACAAAATGCACGTTTGTGTTATTGTATGAATGGAAACCGAGATAAAGATTTATCAAATATTATTTATAAAATTCAATATTCATAAAATTGACGCGTTCCGTAAACCTAGTGTTAAAAATGTAAAGCTTTACGAAAATAACATAAATTCTCGTGTTAAAAGGTTTCTGAAACTTTTGTAGCAACCTACATAATACCCTTTTTACGTATCATTGATTAGTAGTAAACAAATGAAAATTTCATTGAATTAGTTCTATCACGAAATGAAATTATATGCAGGTAGCTCTACCAAAATTAAAAAATTAATTTACTCTATCAAATATTATAATCTTTTGCATTAAAAAATGGTATCACTTTCCAAATATTTTGATTGCCAAGGAATATTTGAAGTTTAATTTAATGTATAAAATACGAAAATATACTTTTTCATTTTATGCTTCAGATTATTAAACTTACAATATTATACTTATCGAAGTTTTGCTTCTTATTGAAAACATTCTTTTACTTAAAGTGTACAGGATTTAACATGTTAAAGAATGTTTGAAATATTTTTCCTTTATATTCTACCCAACTTTGTTTTTCGTGTAATATTTAGTTACTTTACTAAAATCGTGCAGGCATTGTTACAGAGTGTGCCTTATTTCTTTCATGTGCACTAGCGAACAAATGTCTTTGATCACTTGCAGTATTTAGTTTCCAAAAGAAACGAGCATAAAAGACTCCGTAGTCTCAAAAGGTTGTTATTATTGTGAATTTAACATATTTCTCCGGTTATGTCTATTAATTATAAATATATTAAATTTTATCGACACGTTGTATGTATTTCATTTCATTAAAAAAACAGAGATCCATGTTTATTAAGCGAGTAATCAAATACTTTTAAACGGCAGTGTACATTTGATACTATGCGTTTTCATTTTTTACTTCTCTACAGTATTTATTGTACAGAAATCAATTATAAACTTATAGCTTTTCCAATAAATTCAACTACATTTTGCAAGCTTTTAACACAAAAATACTTACATATAGACCTTGAAAATTATAACTTTGGAAACAGAATTAGTGGACCAATCAAAACCGAAATCAATGTTTACTAAAGAATATTTATAAAATTTATATCTATTCAATTGACAGACTCGACAAATCTAGTGTTAACTTTTCGCCGACGAGGTCTTTTCAAAGTATTCAAAACCTTCAGCAAAGAAATCTAAATAATAAATTGAACTCTTAACCTTTTATCTACCGTTCCTAATCAAAGCCATCACTGACTACCTACCAACACGGTTTTTGTCATGTAGAAGTATGTTTTCACTTGCAAAGCTTTATAACTTTTAAATCAAGGCATCTCAAGGAATCTCGTAATATCGTTCTAGTTTCATTTGTTTTAAATCAGCGTAATTTTAATAGGGTACCGATTGTCAAACTACCAAACAGAGCAAAATGACCCATTCCTGATTTTCTCTTTTTGCACTTATTAAAAAGATAACAGATGTATCTCTGAGAAATTATTAAAGAAATTGATTTATCAATATGGAAACTGGATCGTAAATCAATTCAAGTTTCAATAGATGCACTCTTTGAGTTTCTATAGAAGAAAAGTCAATTTAACTGCTAGATAGTTTTAGTATTAACAGGCTTGCGATAGATAAAGTGTTAACTGCCAGAAAAACGTAACTATGTGTTGATCTTTAGTTATTCGAATAATTAAATTATTCGTATCCAATTCTGTATCCTAGAAATAAAACTTCTTTATCATTAACATGCCGACATCCGTCCTCAAAGGGTTAATCGTGTATTCAATAGCCGAAATTGTCAGTGACACGACAAATGTCGTAATAATCAATTTTTCTAAAGTTTGCTTTTACTCTGATTACTAAAATAAATATTGTTTCTCAACAGCGAACCGAATGCGGACGTAGTACCAGCCCCACAAGCGCAAACCTCATCCTCCTCACCCAGTTCGACGCCGGGTGACGCGACGGCCAGTAGCTCACCACAAAGTCCGCAGGATAACATTCACCTTCCTCCACCTCCTCTTCCTGGTCACCCGGCAGCGGCCTACCAGACCGTGAAGAGAAAGGGAACCGCTGGTTCCGAGGAGCTCGAGGGCAACCTGGCCACCCTCGGAGGTCGGCCGAGGTCGGTTGAAGGTTTTCCAGCAGAGCTTAGGGGTGCTAGAAGGCGAAGGTCCGACAGCCATGATCATATGGAAGATGACGATTCCGTGAGTATTTAATGTTTATTTATTACTGAATTAGTGAGATCTGAAGACACATTAGGTTAGTGCTCTTTTATTCGGATGTTAGTAGAACCACAGTAGAATTTCGATTAACATATTCCGTGTCACCGGAAATTTCGGTTATATCTTGCTCATAAAGTGTACTGATTTTTTAAATGAAATATTAAGTTATATTCGAGTGTTTGGTGACTTTTATATATATTTTGATATTATTTGTTTACGCTTTCGTTATTTCGCGACGTGCACCGCTATTCTTTAATACATATCTCTTGAAAAATGTTTCTTTACAAAAATTGCGCGTGCACCACAAATGGTACGCGTGGCACGGAACGTGTTAATCAGAGTGTTATTTTTCGCCAGATTGTCCAGAGTCTTGGTTAGATTAGAACCGAATGATTCAGATTTTTGGTAGTATCTTGAATATTTTTAAAACTTTCTTCTCGAGTCTCTATATTATTTATATTTAACGTATAGATAATTTCGGTAAGTTTTTCGAAAGAATTGTTTTGATTATCTTTAAATATTAAACGTTACATTTAATATATTGATAGTTGGATAAATGGGATGAAACCAAGATCTGTTAGGTGAGGGTTAAATTATTCTGCAATTCGTTATGTTTTTCTTATGTTTCTCTGAAGATTAGATTAGGTGTTCCATATTTCAATTGAAAAGTAAGTATATAAAAATAGAATAGAAATATAGAGAAAGAAGTTTACGCATGAGATAAAAACATTTATGTCACACAATTAAGTTAATATGCATAATGTATATGTTATAAGTAACATATACATTACATATATTACATTATATGATATTTTTTGATATCTTGATATATTTTACTTGGTTTTATCTTACTGAAGTTTTCCTACAATTAATTGTACCACATTTCAACGAGTATAACATTACTTTCAACACGTTTTAATACCTTCTTTCAATTCTTCCACCGTATATTCTTTGTTACCTTTTATTTTATACTCAATCTTATTTCCCATATTTTATCTCTACCAGACATCCATGTAATCTATTCACATGGTCAATAAGTATCTAAGGACGATTATTAAAACTATTCATACTAAATATTATTTCCTATTTACCAATAATTTCGTCAAACAATACAGAATAATATATTCACCCCCATTTGTTACCTACAACCCATAGAAAATACAAAACACAGAGAATTCAATAATTTAATCTAACTCAGTCAAATTTAAATCAATACTTACATGTAAAAAATAAAATCTATCCCATTCGTTGCAGAATATCTATCGAACCGTCAGCCTGGTCTCCAGCCATGTGTACAAGCGAGCAGCCCAAGAGATGACAGACGTGAATACCTCGAGGACGATTCAGGTGGTGGCACCTGGTGACGTGAACTTCGCCCTGGGCACGACGAACTCTAGCAACGACACCACCGTGGTGATCCAAAACGCGAGCGCCTCATCGGACCCGGAGACGATCTGCATGAGCCTGCCTGGCTTCGTTGGCGGCCTGGTGATGCTTCTTCTGGTGGTGGTGGTCGCCTCGCTGGTCGCGGCGTTCCTGTTTGTCAGGGTGCGCGCCGTCGATCGGAAGAACATCGGCATGGCTGGCAGCAGCTTCGTCCATCCGACGTACGCGCCGGAAAACTGCACCGTGCCCAACCCGGAGTTCGTCAAGGTAGCCAACTGAGAGGATAGCGACTCGGAAACTCAGTGAAGAGAATATCGATTTCTCGAGGATCGGCGATCTCGAGGACATACCGTGCTGGGATGTTATCTAATTTGTTTGTTTGTTTGTTTTTCTACGTCCGTGTCACCTCGAACATTCTTCTCATTCGACTGAAACATTGATTCGATCCCCCTGCCCCGGTTTCACGGGATTCAGCGCTGTTCAGCACTCGCGTTACCCAGCGATGTCCGAGCAAAAACGAGCGAGCGCCGGTTTTCGTTCGATCGCCACTCGAACGAAAGAACGAGCAGAATGTTCGAGCACCGTGTAAATAAGTGCCCTAGAAACGCGACTCCATAGGAGAGAGAAAAAGAGAAAAAGGAGGACGAATCAAAGAGCGACGACGTCGGTGCACGTTCCGCCCGGTACTGCTCGCGTTTCTTGATCCTTTCACTGCTATGTGGGCCAGCATGCGTGTGATACCCTTAAAACGAGATGCACTTTTACTTCGATCGGAACAGATTTTTTGTTCTTCTTTTCTTTTTAGTACGTAACGTGCGCGATCGCGGCGCGTTCGGTCGGTCGGGTTTGGTGTAACATGCGCACGACCGTTTTGACTGATCTGTTTCGTTATTGGAATATAGGTATTCGTGTGTATTATAATTTTTTACGTCACTATTTTAGTAACTGGAACCAACTAATTCATACTCTTCATCCAAGATCATACCTAATTACAAACAAGATAAAATATTTATTCAAACGTTCACATTATAAATGCATAAAGTTTATTCATAGTATGCAACAATGAACATTGAATTCCAACCATTCGACTTGATTTTCGTTAGCAAACTTAAATCATTAATACTAAAACTACCGAACGGGTCAAATTGACCCACTTCGGAATGTTTATTTCACAAGTATTTAAATTATGAAAGCGTTTCTGCGAGAGATTATAAATGAAATTTGCGTATTGGTACAGATACAAATCTAGAAGACCGTTAGAATCTCATGAAACGTATTGTTCTAATTTTTACAAGGAATTGGAAACAGGTTACTCTAAGTGCTCGGTGATTTTAGCGCTAATAAATAATTACGCGTTCATAAACGAGACTGATTGAAACAATACCCAGTAAACGGTTCACAGTTCGTCAAAAACTATAAGTGCTCGTCCTAATATTCCATTTAACTGCACATATTCGACTGGCCGAACGGAACACAGTCGCGTTACGGAATCCGTCCTCCCGTGAATCGATCGCACCGGTGTCACTTTCGAAGTTCCGGCAAACGGTGGAACGTTCCCCGACGCGTTTCGATGGCACGTTGCGACCGCGATAGACGCGACGAAGTAGTAGCTTAATCACACGGCGAAGAGTGAGACGTCGCAGCGTGCTACGCGGCAGAAGTTTCGTCGACGGTCGCCAGAATAGTCTCGGAGGGCATTGTAAATAAGCCGGAAGTAGTCAGACGGCCCTTCAAGACGCGCGAGTTCCTTCGAATTCCCGCGTCCTCGATTATCAACGAAGTGCGTTTATTTATACAGTCAACCCTCTAATAACACGGTTAATTGGTTACGTATCATTTGAAACCATATTATACGAGACTCATAATTAGCAGTCACACAGATCTAATGATCTCTTTTCGCGTTATTGAAAATCGTATTCGTAGAAGCTCCAGATATATACACAAGAGAAACCGTGTGATTGAAGTGCTTTATTATGCGATTAACACATTGTCTACCGACAGTTATTGAACAGAATATTGAAGATTAATAATCATTGCTTAATGATTTTTTGATCAAACTTTTAATATGAATTACTGTTCTGAATCAGTAAATTGTATTGAGTAATATAAGCTAATTTTGATTTTAGGAACATTATTAGGCCGTCTAACACTAGAACTACTTAAATTGACTTTTTGAAATTTCTTTGTAACAGCCACAAGAATGTAGTTATTAAGATTTCAACTGGCTTTCATATCTATTTAGGTATTATTAAATCAGTTTCCTTAATAATTTCTCAAAGAAGCATCTGCACCCTTTCAGTAGTTATAAAAGAAAAAGTCAGAAATGGGTCATTTTGATTCATCTGGTAGTTCTAGTGTTAATATAAGAATATGAGTATTTCGAAAATCTATTAATAACCGTTTAGTAGATAAACTATAAATATTCTGATTGTTGTAATGTTTGACAATTTTTTTTGGCCGAGACTTTATGTATCTGAAGAACCGTGTTATTCGAGGGTTGCTAGTACGTCTTTTTTGTACACTCTGAAAACGGCATTCCTCTTTTTATTTGTTCTCCACCTTCGTTTTTTACCTCATGTCCTCGCGACCTGGAGCTCCGCGTCGTCGACCTTTCGCGTCGGAAAGGTCGTCGCGACGCTGGGCGTCAACACGTCGATGTTCACGGAGCTCCTGGTCCCGATCCCTCACTGCGCTCGTGAAGCGACCTTATTTATTGCTCTTTATTCTGTTTTTATTATTTTATTTGTTACATTCATTCTAACTCCGTCCAGTTTCCTCCCATTTCGAACGATCTAACCTTAATTTATTTATCGAAATTTATTTATCTAGCTGCATTACTCATCCCCCACTTCTCCCTGTTCCTCGTTCTCACTTTGTCTGCATTTTTGTTTCTGCTGTCTCCTCTGCCCCCCTCCCCCTCTGCGTTTAGCGTATAAGATTTTCAAGGAAACATTGTTCCCTGATCCAGGGAACCTTGAGTATGTGTCTTTAGCACACGCATTTACACATGTAACACGTTCTGCAGAGAAAAAATGCATGATGGATACGCGATCGGACAGTGAACACGTATGCATACATCGGAGACGCACACGCGCGTGAACTATAATTGTATACATTGTTACACTGGTACGAGGAATGTATACACTAAGCAAGATTTCATTATCTGATAATTATTTCAATTACATATTCATTTTTATTTATACTATCCGGCGTTCCTCTTCTTCATACCTTCGATGCCCTGTACTTCACTTAGGTTTCTCCTTTTTTGGGGGAAATCTGTGCTATTTATTTCGATGAGAGATTTGTGGAAAGAAATATTAAAATGATTAAATAATATAGGTATTGTAACATTTTACAAAATTTTGATCAAATTGATTTCGTTATTTTAAATTATATTAGACTAGTTTGACGATTTTAGAGAGATCAAAGTTGAAATTTTTATGAAGCGTTTGGGTTATTTTTATAACTTATTGTTAGACTGCATGTTTACACTAATTTTTTACTTTTACAGAAGAATTAAATGAAATTTAGTTATAAAAAATTTTTATTTCCTTTGTTAATGTTTTCAGTGAATTGAAAATGAATTGGAAGTTTATTAAATTCTATTTTATCCTACGTTTTAAACTTTTATAAAGATTCTTTGGTGTTGAATGTGAATATGGTTCTACAAACTCCCTGTCCATAACTCTAGGAAAACGTTAAAGCATGGTCACCAATGATAATTTCGGCACAATATATTTAAGAAAACGAAAAGAAGTGTTTATATTGGGTAGAAAGAAATCTAATCTCTTGTTTTAGATTGATTTCATCAATGGCATTATTACGTTTATATTTATTTAAATAATTTTTATGGAAATATACGAAAATAACAAGAAATATCAACGAGAAAGATAACACATTTGATTTTTCTACAAAAATGGACATTTATAAGCAACATTTAATATAATTTTTAATTTTGGACAGAGTACACTTTACAGAACTATATGTATTTACTTTTTATACTGTTAATTTAAAAGTATGAAATAAATTCAAAAATTCTCGACAAATTTAATAGAATGGATGAAACTTCAATTTAATGTTACGGACGACATCTACTCTTAAAAGTATTCTTCCATGCAGACAAATACGGTTTATATTTGTTAACCATAAATTTACGTTGTCTGGATGATTTTTTAACTTCACGTAATTCTTGAACTAACTTGTGCAAACTACTTTCTGGTTCCAAATGAGACGTCAAGAGATCATCAAATTTGCATCTGTTACAAATAAAAAGAGATTAGTAGTTTCTAAATTATTTTTAAATATGATCCTTGAAACTTACTTGAATAGATCGTTCTTCAAACTCGTGTCGATAAAGTATGACGTCATTTCTTTGTTGAAATTCAGAATTGTACCTAATTCTATTCTGCAAGTAAATTTGTTAATATATTAGTGTGATGATGATATGAAATGTACAATTATTTTTGTTTTCTTTTATACCTGATACTTTTTCCATCAGCGAAAAATTGAAGAAAAATGTTCCTTCGATTTGAAATCCTCAAGCTGATATGATCAGTTAATTTCATGCATATCGTTTTGAGCTGGGTAGTATCCTTCGAATAATCATCAGGAGCACTGCAATTCATACATCAGAAAAGTTCAGTTTCGTTTTTTACTTTTTCTGTTCAATTCTTATTGTTAGGACGAAACTGACAATTGAAAAAAATTAAATATTTCTGAAGGATCGAAAAAGAAACTATAGTTAATGCATCTTTCATAATTTTAAATTATCGTGAATTCAAAGCATAGTTTTTTCAATCATATTGAGGGAAGTACATTGTCGAGTAACTGAATACAATCTATTTCTTACAACTAGATACATTTCAATAATCCAGTGGCATTTATTTAAATATATAAAAGAGGAAAACATAAAATATTTAAAGAAATATTTTATATTTTGTACATCCACAAAAATAAAATTTTAATATATTGATCAAAACTTTTGGTACGTAATTATTTAAAAAATACCAATAGATACATTAATCCTACAATATTATGTAATGTTTCAACATTTTTAAAATGCAGAGCAAAAGTTCCGAATTAATCACTGTCTTCAATATTCATATGTGCTTCATAGACGCATCTTTTAAAAAATAATATATGTGAAAATAATTTGCAATTTTCTATTGAATCCAGTAGTCTCAGTGTTAACTAAATTAGAAGTCTGCACTCTCGTAATAACATACATCTTTTTTTTAAACGCTTCACCATTTTTACAAGAAGAAACAAAACATGTTGAATTTATATAAACAATTTAAAAGTGAAAAATAGTGGATTCTGTACTACTATATCTTATGTTTTTCTAAAAGTTCCAAATTTCAAGCAAGAACAATTTCACCAAAAGGTCGTTTCCGATTAAAAGGACAATGCTATTAATAACCTATTCGCTTACGCATTATTCTTGAGCCCTTATTTTATAAATCTACCTTAGTGTACTATTTTCATCAGAATGCGAAAAAATAAATTCCCTTAAAGTAATAAAGAACAAAACAGTCTTATATCATTTTCAAAACTGTATTTAATTTAAAGTACCCTTACATGTAAAATATTTGTAGTATGTAATATTTAAACAGTTCAAAAGTATTTAAAATTAAAATATTAAAAGTCAATAAAAAGAAAAAATGTTAAGTCACGACATAAAGGACTAAAATCAGTTTCTACCGTTATTTCCATATTATATTATACTATGTATATAATTTTATCCAAATTATATTCAAATCACTTTAGTATTGCATATCATTGAAAACTCAGTTTCAGCATTTTCAAACTTTCTCATTATAAGTTCGCAGCGCCCACTAAACTGTTCAATTGTGATGCGGCTGTAAAGTTGACTGGTGTTGAAGATGGTTCGCCGTTAATTGAAAAACTCGATTATTAACGTTTCTCTCAGTGGAACGGTCCCGTTGTAATTAGTAACCCTCGTTCAAGTACAATTGTACTACTTTTTTCCTCGACGTACCCGGACATGACCTCTTCTTCGCTGTCGTGCACCGCGACAACAGGTTTCTGTTCCACGACCTTCTTCTCCTTATTTCGCGAGCTCGCCGGCGACGCTGATGCTTTGCCACTTCCGGAACTGTGATGCATTGTGTGTTATAGGAGCGAATCAATCAAAATTGATTCAAGCTACGAGAAATAGTTGAACTACCTCTTTATCAGCTTTGACGATGGAGGGAGGAACTTCTCTATGTGAGCTGCTGATTTTTCCTGAAACATGTAATTGTTGCTGAAATGCCAATAATTAATACTGGATGCATGAAATCTATTAACCCCTTGTCCTATGATTTTTTTTATAACTGCATACGTCAGAATTACTTTATTATTAATAATTAATTAAAAATAAAAGAGAATTCCATGTTCTTCTTCTAATTACGTTTTCTTCAAAGATTAAGAATTTGTAATAGAAAAATAACATATAGTTTTAACTTAAAGGAATAGAAAGACATTTACACACACTAATCTCTCTTCAGAATCTTTGTCATGAGTCTGATACGAGATTGTAAGACAAGGGGATAATTTCAAGGAATTTAAACATAACATATATGTTACAAGAATTTTAAATATCTTTATTCCTACATATATATAGCAAATTTGTTCCTGTTCTCAGTAACCCTTTAATTTAATATATCTGTGTTCAACATATTTATTATTCCAAAATGAATAGAACAAAGTATATGATCAATGTCAACGAATCTAGTATTGTAATTATAAGGATAATATTCGAAAAATACTTGCAAAGAAAGAAAATTTATTAATTTTTTGAAAGTTCATTGAGGTTTAAGAGATAAACAAATTGAAAATTTAGTTATAAAAAGTAACATTCGTGAATATTTTCATAAAAAGTGAGGATTTTCAATAAAAATATAATATTTTACTAAAAACAAAATGAATTTAAATTGAAAATTCACAATATCCATTTTGTTTACAAGGACTTGACAAAATTTACTAAACTTGTTGTAAAATTTACTCTAAAAATCTCAATCTCAATACAAATCTCAAATCCATGACGATCTAATAACTTTCATATAATTTAATCTTAAACAGTTTTCTTAATATAAGGAATATAATATAATATTTTAAATCTATGAATTAAAAATTATATTTATACATATTTTTATATTAATCTATCTATTCTATAATTAGATTAATATTTTGTCGAAATGTCAAAGTCAAAAGCAATGGAACAATGTCTCACCACGTACACAGTTTCGACAACCAAGTTCTTTTCGTCGACGTCCCATTTCCACACCAGTGGCGGGCCTGCCGGATTATCCCTCCAAATTCCTCCAATCTGATTGTAGGACAGCCTGCAGAAATAATTGGAAACTTGAACTGAAGGTGTCCCAGGCCGACAGTAATTAAAAATTCCGGCGAAATTCTTTTCCGTCACGTACCTTGTCGCGCCGTCCTCGTCAAAGACAGCGCCGTTGCCCATGGTGTCGAACACCCCGACGATCTGTGACTTTCTTTCCACTCCCACGCAATCTTTGCCTCCTGGGGTGAACACAGTATACATACCATCTTGAAATCGATTTTAACTGTTTTTATGCGTTGTCTGTGTCACATCGATTGTTTTTGTCTTTACCAACACTTTGACTGCCACGTGATCCACACGTGGCTGACATAGGGTTTGCATTAACTCTTTATGTACTGAATTATTTATTTATTCTTTTTAGTGGCTTTCTTAAATTTTTAGAAAATAAACAGCTATGGTATGTCAATCAAATTTTCATTTCACGTAAGTTTTAACATATAACTTTTTAAATAAATAAAATAATATAAATTTTAATAACTTAGTTTCTTTAATCATAGAATTTGAAAATAATAAGTAATTAAATTATGGTTATAAGTATTGTCTTTGCATTTATATAACTTTTCAAATTAATAAAATAATATAAATTTTAATAACTCAGTTTCTTTAATGATACGTTTTAAAAATAATAAATAATTAAATTGTGGTTATAAGCATTGTCCTTTGCATAATATAAAATTGTTTCAATATTATGTTCAGCAACTATAACTTTAGACTTTTTAACAAGAACGTTGATATCATTTACAGTAAATCTGTATTATATTTTTATGATTACATTTCTGATTCCCTGGTTTGTAAACTTCAATAGCCAGCCGCCCATTTGGATGAAAAACTTCCCCCGTTCCATCGGGATGGAAATTTACGAAAATTGTGGCGCCATCGTTGTAATATATTCTTCCCTCGTATTTGTGCCTTTCGAACCTGCTCGTTCAAGGAGATTAATGTTTCAGCGTAATAAATTATCCAAGTTAGTTTCCGAGGACGAACTAGAACACGACACCACCTACAATGGCGTCTTGTTAGCTTTAAGCTTCGACTTAATCGTTAGCTCGTTATCAACTAATCTCGAAGTTTACTCGGGTGTTGTGTGGAAGGAAAGATAATGAATTCGTTATTTAATGTGAATTTCGTTTAATGACATTTTATTATACATCGGATTCAATTATATAACATTGACAGGGGCGTTTGATTATTCTTAATAGCTTTTTATTTGGGAAAGGAATTATTGCTTCTTGAAATTGTTTTTAAAGTATATCATTTATACAAAAATGTTCATATTTTTATATTCGGCGACGTGCTTTTATAAATTTATAAAGTTGTTTCATAAATAGATGGTTGAATTTTATCAATACATTCTATGAACAGTAACAATAAAATTATGCTATTCAACTACATATTAAGGAACTCATGATTAAAATTTTATACCTATCAAAAATATTCAATATAAAAACAGAAGATAGATCAATAAATAAGATAACGTAATTTTTATCTTCACAATTAAATATTTTTTGTCAATAATATCAACACATATTTTATTATTATACATTTATATTTCTTGAATAAATATTTCCTATTTATTATCATAGGGAAAGGAATAAATATTATGCGAATCAATCATACTTCTGTATAAAGGTTCTTTATAAAGATAAAATTGTCACTTTGATAGTTGCGAAATATTTGCTTCGGTACACTTTAGAAAATCGACAAGCATTTATACCGTTACTATTAGGATAACCCCTTGGCTGTATTGGGTTGTCAGTTCGTTGATGCATGAAACATAACGAGCTGCTTTGCATGATCCAATTTTATAGTCAATGCCCAGACCTAATTAAACTGGATGGTCTGACCTAGCTTTTCAATTTTAAACACATAAAGGATTTATAATAAGAAATATTATTAGTCCCCCATTTATCTTGATTACTTTTTATAAACTGCACAAAAATTAAAATATATACTCTTATTCGTAATAAATGCTGATCTAACTATTCTAAAACAGAAATTCTTTTTATATTTACTTCATTGAATATTTTGCACTGAAATAAAAAATTATTCATGACCTACAAAATTGAAACAAAAAATAGCGGAAATATATGTACTAAAATATATAGTACACAGTAGAATTGAAAGGTAAATAATTATTATTGATATTAATGATAAAAATAATGGTTGAAATAAAAAATTTAATTATATAATTTTTATATGCATGAGTAACGTTTATTCGTTACTGGAAGTGTTTGTATTAACTTGTATAAGTACACTTTATTAATTTCATTATATCGTTGTAAGTATCATTTTTTACACAACACTTTATAATTTTCTTCATATTGATTTTTACAATTACTTTGTTTTTCGAATAAATGATATCTTCTTCTATGTTTTCACATAAATCAATAGAATATATAATAAACATTATTTAAGCAGCAATTATTTACACTGTTATTCAAATAAAATAACTTAAGAAATACAAACAAGTTATTCTAACAAATAGATAAAATAATTTTCTGCAAATAATAAACAATTATTATTCGAATGTAGTATCTTACTAATAATATGCACTATCACTACATATTCCTACATAGTATAATGTGATCTCTAATGATCTCAATGATAATGCAAACTCTACAAATAAAAAATAAAAAAGTTCACGAGGCTAATTACTTTAGAAAATATCATTATAATATATTGACATATCATATTTATATATTATAACAGATAATACACTATAAATAAATTATATTATAAATTATAACATATTACTATAATTATAACTATTATAAAAGTTTAAACAATTCGAAGAATATCAAAACCTGGTTTGCATAATCTCTGGCAAGATGTAATATCATACTCGAAATTTCAACGTACCAATTCAGATGTGGTTTCGCTGGCTTTGTTTGGTACTGGACGACTTTCCTCGTGATTTTGGGAATCGGCAGTAGGGTCCAACCATGATTCACGAAGTGCTGGTTGGATAATTGGTACTCGATCAAGCGGCGGCGTTCTGTAATACAGGAATTTCACGAGGACGTCCAACTTGGTCTACCATACATGCGCAGACCGCATTATTTGGATGCGATACGATAATGATGGCCAAACGTTCTCGAGCTCTCAAGTGTTCGGTTAATGACGATCTGATATTGAGTTTCACTCAGTCTCTACGGAATCAGTAGTCTCGGTAATGATATCAACGTTACCAGTTTTCGCAAATCAAATCGGATCGATAAGTTTGCAATTCTTTCACCACGCAGGTATAACAACAAGGAATGGATGTTTTTAAAACATAGATTTGTACAAAGGACAAATTTTTTAGATACTGCAGTAAAAATTGAAATGGATTGCTAGTTCACTTTAAGGAAAATTGAATGATAAGATTGTATTATCGATACCAAAATCATATTAACCTTTTGAACTCGAAAGTTTTGTCGACAGTTATATTCATTATTTTCTAACGAAATATTAATGATATTGTTTATAACTAACATAAATATAAATAATACAATAATCAGGGGATAGAACTATTCTGTTTCAATATATCCTGTATAATTATGTTATATGGTATTAAATATAAAACTTTATAACTTTGTTATATCAAACCAAATGTGCAACTGTGTGTGGCATTTCGAGTGTAAAGGGTTAAGTGCCTGCTTTAACCTTCTCTTTGTACACAAATATTTTAACGTTAACCCCTTGCGCTATGACTTATTTTTCAATTATAACCGATACAACTACTTTATCGTTAATAATTTATTAAGGAAAGAACGAATTTTTATGCTTATTCTATATCTACGTTCACTCAAAAGGTTAACTATTGATAATAGGAAAGCAATATTTAATATATGTTTAAACAAAGTAAATAAAACTTAGATTTATCAAATTTAGTTTACAATTTTCGTCATAAGCCTGACACAATATTGTAAGTCAAGAGATTAATCTTGTACTGAGGTATAATTGCACTCCATACATTTTTGGTGCAAAACGTACAGAAAAAATTCAGCTGCATAAGTATGTATTGACTGATATATTCAAATTTACCGATTTCAGGGAAATTTGTTCAAATATTATGTAAAATATATTACAGACATCATTCCTAGAAAAACTTTGGAAATTTACCATTCGTCAACCTTTAATTTACATTTTTATCTATAAACAGAGAGAAGGTTAAAGACAAAGCGTCGGACGAAAGGATTTATTTTCGCTTTCAAAAATTCGGATTGCTTTCTCTCACCTGTTTCACCGAGATCCGACACTTTTGTCCTTATTTCGCGATAACGAGTGCCATTTATCTTACTGTAATCGTCGTTCGCTTTACTCGAATCACGTTCCCTGCGTCCCTTCGCGTTGGCCTCGCTTGTTTCTTTCTTACTTCGACGGTCTGAATCGGGCGTTGATTTATCTTCCCCACTTGCGCTACGTACTTTCCCTTTATATAACAGAGAAAATTGTATTCCGATATTGCTTATTACTCTGCATATCGCAGGTTACGTGTTTTCCTATCACAGAAAAATTGCCATGTTACAGTGGTATCTCAACCCCTTGCCCTATGATTTCTTTCTCAAGTCTGACCGATACTGTTACTTTCCCATTAATAATTTATTGGAAAAAGAGAAAAACTGTAGGTATATTCTATGTTTATGTTCGTTGTTAAGTATAATAATTGATTACAGAAGGATAAAATTTACTTTGAATTCGAATGAATTGAGTAATATTCATGTTTGTTAAATCATGTTGAAAATCTTCACCGCGAGTCTGACACGTTGTTATAAGGCGAGGAGTTAAGTAACATTGATTATGAATTATTTTGGTTATCCAGGTACTTGTTAATCCACTGTGACAAAGCTTTATACAAAATACGACATTCCAAGTACACTTTTGAATCATTTTTTCCTTATGATGATGGAAACAAGGGTTTTCGTGTGAGGTTATTTCATGATTTCAAGGGGGACATGCTTTAATATAAAAACTTTATGGTGAATTAACATTAATATTATCAAGAAGTCAAAATGATGTATTAATTTAATTACTTCGAAACATTACTCAAGTACATTCGTAGAGATCACAGTTGCTTTGTACTGCAAAAATTTGTTACAGTGATTTTCGTTACAAAATTATGAAGTTAAGGTTTTAAATTAAACTGAAGTTGTTTGAATACAAGTTTGTAAAAACAAGTGATGTGTTTTTATTTAACTATAATTTCAATGTATTTTATGTTTTATGACATAGCATCGAAGTGTAAATCCATTTTTTTGGAAATTTTGGGACCACCTTATTTATCCTTTCTCATAATTTATAGTGCAATTATTAACAATTTTCAAACCATATAAAAGATCTTTAAAAATACAGTTCTTCGGCCAGTCCTACATACTTTACTTTTATATTGATGTCACGTTTAGTCATCTAACTTCAGCTAAACCATTATTAGAAATACTAGTTTCATTTCTTGTATATATGGTCTAGGCTAGATCTCCTCATTGAATTTTAAAAAACAAGAAAATGACGAGTTTTTTTCGAAATTCAATACTTCCTTCAATCAAATAAGAAAGCATGCTTCCTTAACAATACACCTACGTCATCTTCTCCGAACATCTTATATCACTTTCATCTAACAAAAGAGATAAAAAAATGCACCGAATTTAAATAATTTTGCTGTTTCATTTAAAAAAGTTAAATTATTTCTTGACCCGCTTATTAGCAGTAAAATATCCCGTTTTCCCTCGCGGAACATTTTCAAGTAACAAGTTTTCCGAGCGCCTCGGGAAATTGAAGTTCCTTTATGTCACCCGGGCGACATTCCCAAATTTTTACAAATTGTACCTACCACCCTTCCCCTTCTTCATTAAGTCTGAATCAGCTTCGTCTCTGCTCGAGCGACCTCTCCGCTTTCCATCACGCTTAGGAACATTTTCTTCTTCATCAAAGCCACGAGGCGTTCCCTTCGCCTTGCTGTCAAGTGCATCTGTTTTTTTCTTCCTTCGTTCCCTAGTGCCTATGCTCTCACTAGTATCCACCATTTCCTCCATTTCGTAGTTCTTCCTTTCCTCCGCTTTCTTAACGCTATGTCTACCATTTGTCTTGCCTTCGTTACCTGTGTCTTCGATAATATGTTCGTTCTTTATTTCTCTTAATAATTCAGCTGTGGAAACTTTCTTTCCTTTTTTATTTGCAGGTTTTTTTTCAATCATTTTCAAATTTGGAATTTTTGACCATTTGTTCTTACGCGAGGATTCTGTCTCTGTAGTTGATTGATTATAATCTTCGTTATCCGCAAGCTTCGATTTTTGTGCTTTTTGTCGATTCAAGCTTTGTTTTCTTCTATTAGATTGTCCGTGAATTAAAGTTTTATGATCTAAAGAGCCAAAGAAATAGTTTCTTTTATAGTTTTTCAGTTTTCGTATAGTAAAGAACGTAATTTCAATATTATTTTATAAATTAGTCACTTTATTGTTTGTAACAATAATTATCTATAACTATTAGAATATTATTTCTAATATTTCTTACTTTTTATTATTTACACGTTACAATTGTTGTATTTTGAACATTTCTCACGTGGATAATTCAATTTTATTCTGTGAAAACTCACACAAACAATTGATATAGGTGTCTTTCCAAAATTGTCATATTATAAAAAAAAGCAGTTGGTACTTTAATGTAATCGATATTATTCATTTTAATGACAAAAGTAGAGCGAGTTATGGGAGTAAAGAATGTAGCAAATACAGAACAGTTTCCACTTGAAGAGACTTCGAGCGTCTTAATCATTCTAAGCGCCGACAGTCCAACATTGCTAAAACCGCAAAAAACTTTCCAGAGAGAAGAAAAGAAGACATTTCGTGAGCTACTTTAGAAAACGGTCATTTCTTATGATGTAGTAGACCAGGACAAATAGCACAAATTTTTAATCTATCTTAAAATCATTTGCAACACTTGAAACATATTTTTTTCGAAATACAATTTTTGTACATTGACTAACAGTTTCTGTAAAAACTATTGGCTGCTATTTTTTCAGATGTATACTTTATCTGTCTGTTATTGGAACTGAAAATATCTGAATTTATAATTTTTCAGTTAGTTAAAACAAAAGACAATTATAACGTTTTTATGGAATTCCACTTTCAACCAACAGAAAACTCATAAAGTGTAATTAAAATAAAATGTTATTAATATATTTTTAACAACGAGAAAGTTCATGGCCAATGTAATGATTAACAATGAATAATTCGACCATCTAAACAATAACTTTACAACAATAATGATTATGAAAAATTCAGAAACATACGTTCATTTATTTTTTAAAAAATATTCCAAAGATCACATAAAAAAGCACATTTAAATCAGAATATCAAGGAATATATGTAGTTTTATTATTAATTATTTTTTATTAATTATTTTTTATTAATTACGACGTATAACCGTCTTTGAAGTTTTACCACAAGTAGCGAATAAAATTGTCAAAATGAAATCACGCTTTCGACTTATTTATTTTTATATGTGTCGTTATAATCAAGCAAACTGTTAAGTTACTTCTAACAAAGAACGTAAAGTGACGTTAACCTCTTGCCTTATGATTTCTTTTGCAACTGCGCTCATCAAAGCTATTTCCTCCTCGATAAGTAGCTACAAAAACAAGTTTCTACATTCATAGTAGATCTATTTCTATGTTAACAGTTAAATATTAATGAAAAGGAAATAAAATTTCATTTTGTCTGTTGAAAAACAATATTAACACTAAAACTACCAGACGGATCAAAATGATTCATTCCTGATTTCTCTTTACTTTTAAATATGAAAGAGATAACAGATGTTCCTCTGCGAAATTATTAAACAAATTGATTTAGCAATACGTAAACTGAATTTTAAACTAATTAAAAACTAAATAGATGCACTCTTGAAGCTTCTACAGAGGAATTTCAAAAAGTAGTTATAAGGCAAGGGTTTAAAATATGCTTATACTGTTTATACAATAAATATTTATGACGTGGGCAGTTGCAAGAATAAACTCCAAATTGTCCTCACCTCCCGAAGATTTAGCCTCTTCACGTTGGTCCTCATCCCCTATCTCCAACTTCCTCATCTTCGACCTACTCAGACTTTGTCCTCCAGCCCCAACTTCCATATAAGTCGATTTCAAATTTCCCATGTTCCTCGATGCCTTCTTTCTCTCCGTTAAATCAGCTTCTCCAGCAGATCGCTGATCCTCTGCAACCTCTCTCAATCCCGGGTCCCGTGACCTTGATCGATTCCCACCCCGCTGGTTCTCCCAGGGTGATCGGTCGGGCCCATTTCCTTCGATGTCGTTGTTCAACAGTCTGTCTTTTTTACGATCCCAGCCGGGATTCCTGTCTCTTTTAATTTTCCTCATTTTTCCAACAGCTGTTCCTTCTTCGTCTGCGCCTCGTGTTCCGCGCGGTTCACGATCTCCACCGGCATTTCCTTCACCGGGAGCATCGTCACGTTTCTCTCGTCTATCTGCCGCGATAGGAGACCCGGAATCCTTGTCGATATTGCGGAGTTTCCTTGTTCCTTCGGCATCTCTCTCAGCCTGATGGTACACCGCCTTCGTTAAATCACTGTGCCCGATTCTGTCAAATTTATCCGGTCCTCGACCCGCTTCCTCGTAACTTTCTGGCTCTGTTTTCCTCAAGGACACTTTAGGATCTACGGAACGCGGCGTGCTTGTACCATGAACGTCCCGATGCTTTATCGTTCGATCGAAGCCCACCAGCGGGCTACCGACCGACCACCTTGCAGTTTCGAGATCGTCGCCAGCTTGATAATCCGCGATCCGTTTATCCTGAGATCCTCGCTGGAAAATCCCTGATCGCGGTCGTGTGTAGTCTCCATCATCGTCCACGAATAGCCCGCTGCTCGAGAGCTTTATTTTTATTTTACTTTCGACGGATTCTTCTTGACTAGCGTTCTATAAACAATGGACATTTTTTATATGTTATGAGTTGGATAAGTGTTTGTGCACTAAGGTTTCTCGAAACAATATTCTGAAGGCAGGTTGATATCATTTTGGATGTTTTAATAATTTTATTATTAACCCCGTGCCATATGATTTCTTTCACAATTGTGCTTGATGAAAGTACATTCACGTTTTATTAGACAAACAGAATTTGGTACTTATTCTACTCGCCGCATTCCCTTCAGACGTTAACGGTTGATCATAGAAAAGAAATATTTAATTTATATTCAAAATAAACAAATAACAGATTTGTCAACAAATTCAGATTTGTCAAATTTAATTAAAAATATTCATCATGAGTCTGACACGATATAAGGGGATAGGGGTTAAATTGTATATGACGATAATAGTATTTTTAGTGAGTGAAGGGATTAAGATACTTTCTGTTGATAAACGGATATTATAAGAATAAGTACGAATAAAAATGTTGAATTTGGTTATAAAATAATTGTTAACTGAGGTTTGCGATATTGATTTACCGAATGTTTAAAGGTATTCATAGTTTTGATAGGATTGTGAAACGATAAAAATGAATCCCACCATAAAATACATATTACATATTGACTCAGAAGAATTTCCTATACAAATTTATAGTGTATTTTTTAATATATGTAGCACATTTGTGGTTTTATTATAGTATTGCTAAATATCACAATACATATTCATAAACCAAAACGTTGTTGTGCAAAGTAAAAGTTTGTTTTGATATGAAGTTACGAATATAAAAATTTGTCTGAATTAAATATTTCTTACTTTCTCATTTTACCTATTTTTTAATAATATGATTATTCCTTTGTAAGTTAATAAATAAATTTTAACCGGCGTAGTTAATGTCGGTAATAACGACAATGATCTTTTAACAAAATGTACGAAAACTTGTTATTGTTCTTGCTATATTAAACAGATATTAAAATTTTTTAGTTATGAACTAACCGATATTAATTGCAATAGTGCCCATTCTTCTAAGATATCATAATACAATTGCAAGTTTTTGCAGCAATACGTACCCTGAAAAAGTTACGTAAGTTAATATTCAGTTCATAAAAATGAATGTTATTTTTAAAGGATAGAATCTAGATCAATTAATTTTCTTTGGTACTCGATATCTTGATACTTATATTATTTTACACGTTACTCACACATTGTTGAGCTATTTTACTGACAATTTCATTACAGAATCTGCATCGAGAGTTTTTTATGCCCCAATCTCGGATAAAATTGTTCACAAGGCGCAGTGTCCATTTCATTTGCATACAAGATAGTTGTTCTATAAGAAAGCAATAAGAGTAGTATAAAAATTGTTTCTTGAACAAACAAACTTTACAATATTTTTTAAGTAAACATTTTCATTTTAGTACAGCACAAAATATTATTTTAATATTTTAACGTTATATACTTTTTTGCAACATTTAGTTTACATCTTCGTTTAATTCAATTACGAGTTATATATACTATTTGATAATTAACATTATTTTAATAAAATAATAAAGTTAAGAGACCAGATTATATAGAAATATATTTGCAATTATTTGCTTAATAAAATCGAAGTAAATTATTGAATTTAAAGGTTATCATTAACTTAACAGTGAAACATTAAAATAATTTGTTTAAAAATAAATAATTAATATACGGTATATATAATATAGTACTTATATTGTAACGTGAATATTACGTATATAATTTAGCAATTACCTTTTGATTCTTCACGACAAGAAATAAGTTTCTTCATTATCTCTTTAAAGAGGCAAGACAACATTTTTAGTTTAAACGATACCGTGGATATCGAAATTTCTTCTGTAACGCACAACACATCTTTCACATCGTGGACGATATTTTCGACCATACAACATTTTTCCAAACTTGTTAAAATTTTATTTATCTATTTAAAAAAAACAAATAATATTTATTGATACAAATTTTCAGTTGCAAAAATATTCACTATTCTTAGCATTAATTAATCTTAGAATTAATTTATGTTTGAACGTTCTCTGAAATTTGAAAACAGACATGTGTCCGCTTTATATATTTTACATTAAAATCGATTTAATCAATATGAGTAAATAGATAGAAAAGGAAATGAACTTCTAGTTGACTTCAACCTTCAAGAGGAAATTCTATTTTACATAATTACTTGTAATCTATTAATCTATCAATTACACGCGTTGCTGAATATAACGACTAATGTACTAATTGAAATTGGCAACTGAAATACTATATTATCAAATGTATATTTGTTGTTTCTTAATATGGAAGAAGAAACTACTCAATATTAGGAATGCAACCATGGATAGGGATATTTGCTTTAGCCGTACGTAATTGCAGTAACCCTAATAAAGTCGATAGCGATCAAATCCAACCTTCTGAATAATGCAACCCGGTATGTCCTCATGCTCTTCCCGTCGCGCACAGTCGCACAGGTCGCGAAATAAACCAGGTCGTTGGGATTTCATTGCCTCGGCCACAACGCTGAGCGCTCCGTACAAAGGCATCCTATCGTGATCAATGCCACAGCATTTGCCTATGCGTAACCTAATTTTATTCAGGCACAATGAATACTTCTAAAAATGATTTCTGAACTTCCTTCGTTATAATTACGAGTTGTTTGTGTTTTAGCCTGTTAACCGTGTGATTTCCAATCATAATATCTATATCATCAGAATTAACCCTTACTGCACAATGATATGTAAACTATTCATAAAATCAGTTTTTTATGAATCAGTGACATAATTCTTTTCGAAATTTGTTCGTATTTGATTATTAAGAAAATATTAATAACATTTGACGTAGGCAGTGAAAACCTTCCATGTGTATATGCAAAACCAGAGATATGATTGAATTTAAATAAATTTATAAAGCTCAATATCATTCTTTACAGATTCGGCGTGTCTGTATAGAGGTATGAAAAGTATCTGCTTATCCATGTATAGGGTTCATTTCAGTAAATTAACCCCTTGATTTATTATTTATTTTCACTGCTAAGCTTGTGTAATATTTTACTACAGACAATGTGGAAGAAAGGCAAAAATATTTTCCATTTCACTTTAAGTGTAAATTTACTTTGAAGATAATAAATCGGTAATAATAAAGTAGGTTTTTGCTTCGATCTATAGACAATAAACAGCATTGATTTTTATTTAATTGATTGTATTGTCATTGTACGGCATTGGGGTTAACATATCAGACTTGTTGTGAACATTTTAAATAGAGTTTAACAAATATAAATATTACGCAATTCTTTTTAATTCAAGTTAAACATCATTTTCCTGTTATCAATTATTATACTAAAGAGTTTATTTTCAGTAAATTATTAATGACAAACTAGGTGTACCAATCATAGGGCATAGAATTAATAATTTATTTCAGTTTAGAAATAGAATTTTTGATAAAAAATTATACCTCTATTAAACAATTAAATTAAGAAATTAAATAAACATTGTATTTATTAAATTTGATAGAAATCGCAGAAAATCCAAATAAATAAGAAAATAAAAAATAAGTAGTTGAGCATGTTAAATCATCTTCACCGGTTAACAGGTTAATAATCGCATTGTTTTCCTTATCATATGATCATTCTACGTGTGGTTAGTAATGCGGGTGAACGGAGAAGGAGCACAGTATGTTTTATATTTCATACGATGCTATTAGTAATTCAATCATTTCAAGTGAAACGAACTTGAAAAATGCCGTAAAGTTTGTCAATAACTGATGAGCTCGTGAGAAGATTTCCAATGAGAAGGTTAGCCATTCTGAATCTTCCATTAACTGATCTTCTCTTACGCAGTACTTCCTGTTCGCCATTATAAGAAAGGTTTCTTATTTATTTCCTGAAATTTCAATGAAACTTTTAATAATCTTTGAAATTAACTCAATGTGGCGTTAAACATTTATATTGTCACTATTTATTTCTTCGAAGAAAAAGATCTTTTTATTGAGTACGAAAATATCAAAATAGGTTATATTAATATAGTAGTAATAATTATTCTATTACGCAAATTTTCAAGGAATATCATTACTGAATTTTTAATTGTTCGGAAGCAATTACAATAATTCCCTGTTAGTTTAATTATAATATATTTCTCGTAGAAACATTCATTTTATTTCCACTCGAACGGCTTTCTAGTATTCGAACCAGTGGATACAACAGTTCGAATTAATAGTTTACATTAATGCATGCAGGAAGAGACGTTCTAGGGAAAATCGTTAATAGCAGTGTCCAATGAACACAATAAATTTTTAAGCACTTTCAATAATCACACCTCTGACGTGAAATCTCTTTGTAGAATCAGTCCATTTGTTTCCATTCACGCAGACATCAATCGTCGCGGTAAATCATCAGTCCTCCTGACAGTTTTCATCGCATGGTTGACAGTTGACAACTGACATTCGTTATGTTGTACAAGATATACACAGTAGGCAGTAGGTGCCTTGCATCGATGTTTCATGTCGATATTCACGACACTTTGCCGGCAGACACATTGCTTTTTTATTCGTGCGATCGTACTTCCGGAACGAAGGATACAGGTGTACCTTTCTTTTTTGTACCTTGTATAAAGTTTATATATCTTGCCCAAATATAACTATAAATTTTTATACTTTCTTTTGGAAATATATTTTTTAATTCTTTCTGGGATTGCCGAAGTTATTATAATATTAAAGTTATAATGATCCGAAGAATCTTAGGAAAATTAAGAAATGAGATTCGAAGGGTCTCTTTATCTTGTATCTATACAAATACGAACATTTAATTCAAAATCTTTCGCAAAAACACCTTCATAATTGAAATACTTACAAAATAAGTTAAAAAAATAAGTCTTAGTATTAACAATAAAAAGAGTGTGCTATTTTTCATATTTACGTCAAAGCCGTTGGTCGTTTCCAACACTAGTAAGTATTTATATTTATAGGCTTATGTGTATTTTTATTTATTGTCTTTCCCCGCCATAAAGACGCAATGTTGTATATACCCTGGTCAATTATTGTAGTACCAGAGGAACCTTTATCGAAAATAAAGCGTTTTTATTTCTTAAATTATTTTTCACGAAAAACTATTTTCCATCTCAATTTTATTTTCTTAGCCACATTCTTAGAACACAAATTCCCATAAAGCTCCACACTGAACCAATTAACAATAAAACGAGTGCACCACAGTTTTCCACATTCCCGTCAAAGCCGTTGGTCGTTCCCAGCACGACCATACTATGAATTTCAATTCATCGCCGGAGATTCCTTCGCGCCTCCGTTTCTTTCTTTAACGTTCCATCCCCCGCGAGTCCCTTTAGGGCGGTGGATCGGTCATAAGACCGAGAGAAAGTTACCCAGGATTTACGATATCCGTCGTAGAACGGTATGGGCCGACATACGGTACTCTATACGTGCTCTGTATTAATATAACATCGCGACACACGAAATATTAATATCATCGCGAGTGTGCAGCGACTCGGTATGCGCCATATGAGGCCGGTCTCTGCCCGACGCGCAATAATCGCGGGCGGTAACGAAG